TTCAGGCTGGTCTCGAACTCCTGACCTTGAGCGATCCACCCGCCTCGGCCTCCCAGAGTGCTAGGATTACAGGCGTGAGCCACCGCGCCCGGCCTTTTCCCAGGACTTTGCATCTCAGCAGGCTAGAAGTTGCCGAAGCTGGTCCGACCGGCTCCTAGGAAGCGTGGGGTGGAGCGTTCTGCCCAGGCTGTCCGCACGCCGTGGGCGCAAAGGCAGACGCTTCCTCTGCCCGACTCTCAAGTCCTTGATACTTTCTCCTTGTCTCCCCTAAGACTCGATAAGCTACAGTCGGGGGACACTGTTCACTTTGTTCTCTTGAACCGTCAGCCCGCGTTTACCGGGCAGCTGCCGTGCGCTGTGTGTGGGCGTGTGCGGGGAGCAGGCGTGAGGAAGACGAGCTTGTCCCGCACCGAGTGGCGGGAGCCCAGAGCAGCTCTGGGGCGCACGTAACCACCGCGCAGGGAGGCCGGCTGGCGCCGCCCCAGATGCGCGGCGTGGCGAGAACCGACAGGAAGCACAGGCAGGTTCTGCCTTGGGGAAGGCTCCGGGGAGGACGTGCCGTTTGAGCCGGGCTTCGAAAGGGTGGGGGCCGGATGTCTGGGGACGGGGGCGAGGGCCGCGGAGGAAAGTCTCCCGGGAGAACGCGGGTCGCGTCTGAGCTTCAGGACAAATGGAAGAGGAGGGTCGGGTGTGGCCAGGTGGAGGGAGGCCCAGAGCCTCAGAGGCAGACCCCCCAGGCTGTTGGGCTCTGGCCTGGGTGGCAGCGGGAGTCCCTTCCCGCCAGCGTCTGATGCTCCGCGAAGGGACAGGGACAGGTACTTCTTGCCCACAGGTGGAGCCTGATCTTCCCACTCCCCAAACCACACACCCACGGTCGAGGGCAGTGCGGTGGCTGGAGGCCGGGGAGGTCGCCGCTGCCTGTCACTGTTGTGCTTTGCAGACAAGCTCACCAGCGCCAGCAAGGACTCCCTGAGCGCCCACGCCAGCCCCAGCCAGTCGCCCACCGGCGTGCACGGCTCCCGGCGCGGCAGCAGCAGCAGCCTGGGCAGCGTGAGCTCCGTCCTGGACGACAAGGACGACGGGATCCGCTGCTGCACCCACTGCAAGGACACGCTGCTCAGGAGGGAGCAGCAGCTCGACGAGAAGGAGCGCACGCCCGACATCGCGAAGCTCTACGAGGTGAGGCCGGGCGCGCCGGGTCTGCCGCGTGGGCGGGGTGGGCGCTTTGCCACGCACGCGCCGCGTCCTGGAGCAGGCTTGGGGAAGTCGCCGCTTTGACTCGCTTTCAGCTCCTGCTACAAGGCCGTGGTACGAATTCCCAGCCACGGCCCCGAGGGAGTCACCGTCACCCCGGACATGTTGCAACAGACGTGTCCCCTCCCGGTCCCTGTGCGCTGGGAAGCAGGCGGGCCGCAGCTCAGGTGGCCCAGGGGCAGGGAGAGGAGGGCGGTTGTCATGGCGTGGCCGGGTTCTGCAGGGAGGGCCGAAGCTGGAGAGGGCAGGAGACAGCGGGTCCCAAGAGTCCTGGGAAGCTCGGCCTGGAGTTTCAGACTTTCTAAGTTTGAGAAAGTTTTCCGAGTTTTCAGGCTTTACCAGCTGACGGAAACTCGGCAAGTTTTCGGGCTTTACCAGTTGACCAAGACTTTGCAAGTTTTCAGGCTTTACCAGCTGACGGAAACTTTGCAAGTTTTGGGGCTTTACCAGCTTACTGGAACTCTGCAAATTTTCAGGCTTAACCAGTTGACTGAAACTTTGCAAGTTTTCGGGCTTTACCAGTTGACCGAAACTTTGCAAGTTTTCAGGTTTTACCAGTTGACCGAAACTTTGCAAGTTTTCAGATTTTCTCGGTGACTGAAACTTTGCAGGTTTTCAGGCTTTACCAGCTGACCGAAACTTTTTGAGTTTTCAGGCTTTACTAGTTTACTGTCCATAGGCCGAGAGTGTCCTCTTGTAAGTTTGTTCAGTTGCCTCGGCTCGCGTTACTGCCGGCGTTCCCAGAACGCCCTTGGGAGGTGCTCACTCTGAGAGGACCCAGTGTAGCCTGGGGCGTCTGGGGGTGAGAGCTGAGCCGAGGAGGACCAGCTGGGTGGGGCTGGGCGGGGAGGCAGGTGAGACTCCGGGAGGGGATCAGTCCGGGGCAGGAAGCAGCTCGTGCAGAATGGAACAAAGGAAGGTGTAGTTTTGTCTGGCGACCACTGACTGGTGGCTGTTACCAGTTGCGTGGGTCACAATGGCAGTGTTTCTGGAATCACCGTGAAAATCCTCGAGCTGCTGGAAATGGTGTCGGTTAAACCCCGTGCTTATCTGCAGATAGAGCTGTTCTCCATCCTGCGTGTGGAGTTCTTGGCCTGCGTCTCACTCTTGGAAATAGCCGTTGTGATTTTGGCCTCTTTTTCTCTTTCTTTTCTTTTTCTCTTTTCTCTTCTTCTTTCTTTCCTTTCCTTTCCTTTCCTTT